TTCTCTTTTCCGATGTTCTCTACGATTAGCGAACCTTATGAGCTTATTGCTCATCATTCCGTCAGGTACAACTTAGCTACATAGGACCAGTATGTTTATCCATTAAACATACTAAAAATAGCGCTTCTACGTCGTCGCTCGGCGCAACTAAAGTTGCCGGAACCACCTGGCACCTATAGCGAGAATTCTACGGCTGTGAGTTCTACTCGCACATAGAAAGTGCACTCCACTCGACGTTTCGAATCCATCGAGAATAGGCTTAGGCCATTTTTGAAAAAGGATAAAAATAGTCCTTGTGGAGCAAAAACACATACAGACTTATTCCTACAGTCGCCACTTAGCTCCATCGAATAGTACGAGGTGACGAGTAGAAAACCCATTAATTATTCAGTTATCGAACAGGATCAGCTGTCTCGTTCACTACCGGCTTCGATATGCCTATTTCGCGCTACTTCAATCATTTATCGCGTCAAGGTCGAGAGTTGAAAACAAACAGTTTTAAGAAATCGAACAGGAGAAGTAACTATAATTGTTACTCACCTTTTCCACTGGTCTCATTTCACTGGAGAGCTCGGACCATTCCCGCATCTTTCCGATTGTTAGACAAAGGGAAAATCAAATCATGAATTCCAATTAGAACAGCTATAGCAATATAAAGGTAGACAAAATACGCGTTTACCTGGCGTTCGAGAAATTTGCAGAGCGTTGTATTGATTTAGACCGAATATGAAATTTAGAAGACTGTGAACTAAGACAAGAAGCGGCAATGCAGAACGTAGATCGCTTTGCTGAATTTGTCGCCCGATTCCGCGTCACAGACACTGTCGAAACAGGAAACCCGGGACTGCCCTCGAGAGCCTATTTTAGGTCGTTCCCAAGCCAATATGTCAATCTCAACGCAGCGTCCTCAGTAAAATATAATAAACAACAGCACATTTCAGGTATGTTTCTTGCAAACCAGCGTATATGTTGCTGGGTGCAGACGCGGAGTATAGAGTGCACGCACCTGTTGTTCCTAATTGAATGGGACCGTTCTACAGATTATATCGTTTGAAATGTAGAACAACCCAGCTCTACGTAGCGCTGCATCTCCTATTGCCGAGCTTATTACAAAACATAAATCATTACTTTGCTAGTTACAAAGTTGATATTGCTGTTGACCGTAGTTGTGTTCCTCTCATCTATCCTAGCTACGTCATTTATTGTGCTAGCGGGATGTAACTTCGATTGGGGACTTGTTCGTAATTTCATTTACATACATGTGCTTATTTGAGGTTATCTGCTTGTTGAGCCACTTAAACAGTTATGTCCACATCATTGAGGCGCGGTCGTTTTACCCTTAGGCGACGGGTCAAGTTATACTTGTTATGCTAACAGAAGATTTACTCTATTTATCAATAGCATTGCGTATTTATATAATAAGGGTAATATATATACATATATATATATAGAATATAACTACATGGCAATGACTTACAATTTTAGCTTTGTTGACACCGAATGTGCTTTACAATTTATCTTTTAGAATCGGTTCGAATATATCGTGTGGTACAAGGGAACAGCGTCGTTTGCCCTTAAATATGACCCGTTTTATGCCACTGTCATTTAATTATCATGCGGTACACAAACGGCAGATGCAGAATAAGTGATCGTTTATTCGGTAAATATCGTAATACAGTGTTCGAAATAATGCCCGGTAGTAACGATATAAGCAGTTCATACCGGTACCTTGGCAGGGCTGCGATCCTAATACCAAAACCGAAAAAAGAAAAAAGTTGTATCTTGTACAAAGAGTGGACACATGTAAATAAAAATCTAGGTTAATTCATGTTTAGCACAGGCCAGTAATGGAGAAACATGTCTTCGTATTCCCCTAAAAGTTGTGTTGTAACATAGAAATTACCACCTTGGGACCTTTGCTAGAAAATGAAGAAAAAACATCATTAGTTCAAACCGTTCGAATTATTACTCCTTCAGACACTTTAATTTAAAGTGTAGGAAACATTCCTAGGAAAATACGAGTTTCGCCATTCTATCATACAGTTTCCTCAATGTCGACTCCATTATGTGTTTTTAATTTATGATAGTAATATTATGATCATATCTAGGTCTGTTTTAAAAAAAGTGAAATTTTCGAAGAGCAACTGTGATGCCTATTTGACACACTTCCTATATACTACTTTAGATGAATAAAATGCACACGTTGCAATAAGGTCACGCGACATGACAAAAGACGTAGACGCCCGAAACGTCGGCCACAGCGTTATCGAACAGTGCCGTAATGAAAACAATATAACCCTTAAAGCAGGTCCCAAACGACGTCTCTACGACACAGTAGAGAAGTTCAACCTGACAAAAGATCATCTGCTCATTAGTTCGACTCGCCAGTACTGACAGTAAATACTGGCGATGCTTGCTCCCCCTTTGTCAGCTTCAGCGTAAACAGATAAGCCGCTAATCAGTGTTTTCAGATGTCACGTCTACAGACCGTAGACTACACCGACGTAGACGCGAACGAACCTCTGATACTTGCAAACATAAGCGTTTCGTATAATAAACAACGGTTTGCCTACATTACAAGCGGTGCAGCCGGCGGTCATGAATTCTTACGGAGTTAGCCGTCTAGATGAAGAGCCAGTTCGTCTTGAATGATTGAATCGATGTTGTGGGAGCCTCGCAGATAGAGCAGTGATGCACGATCTGCGCCAGATAAATGCATATTTATCTTGGTTAGCTAGAAACCATGTTTTGCCAAAATACGAAATTATGGAATCCCTGAATAACATTGACACGGCAGGCTCTCTATCGGTCAGAGCTGGAAGAAACCAATTTTTCATTTATATAATGTCCATTTTGTGCAACACCCTCATAATACACCATGAAGACAGATGGCTAGAATGTATTGAAGCTTATGTGTATTCAGAGGATTTCGTCTGGCCCACTTGTACCACCAACACATAGATACACTGAACATGTGTATTCTTTGTTTTTGCAATCACCATATGTATCTATTCAGATAGCTTATTTACTACTACTACGTACTCTGCCACATGGGTATTCACACGACCATTAGCGTTGAATAGCAGATAGTACGTCAGCATCGCGCTAAGTATTCTGAGGCGAGACGCAGTAAAACAACCTGACCAAAAAGGTTCGAGTGTCCATTTTTGCGTGGTCCTGTAAACCGCAACGCTAAGATGACCGGCACAATGAACAGAGTAAGCCAAAGCAACCCAAATAGCTCATTCATTACTACCTAAACCTATTCGCCTCCATTGTAAATGGTACATCCTCGCTTACTACCTACTGGTATCGCTTACTACCGTTAGCAGTTTTTTTTACATGCGAAAGTATAGCGGATATACAGCATGAGCACATGTGTACACTGTTCATATGTATACATGTGGCTACATGCAAACTATAGTGCCTTTGTTGACACCTGGTGACAAAAACGAGAAACCCAGAAGCCAGTTCAATCGCCGGCGTTCAATCTGAAAAACGGGAGCATGCGTAAAGAAAACGCGAAAGAAAGATTGCCATATCAAAAGCACCATCCACCTTCATTGGGACATGTTGGAAATGTACTTTACTAGTAAAGTAGTTGTCAGATGACGAGCTTGTCAAGCTAGTTGTAGGAGTATGGGGCTACACCCTTACACAATCTGTCACAATTCTAAGATCAGTAGAATAGGCTCGAAGACTCTCTGCTAATTTCTTCCAGGATATTTGAGCATACAGCATATAACTGTTCTTATTATTATTATTTTGACCACAGGTTAAATTACCGTACAGGTAGATAGTGACATAATTTTAGTAAAGCGTACATTCTCTCGACCAGTAATGAGTTACTAACGCTGAAGACTCAGTAATTATTACGTCGCAGTGTTTCTCATCAGAGTGATATCCATACTACGATCGTTATTGTGAACTTCTTCAGAGCGCACTTTCATACGAAAGCCCTGTATTTGGCTACCGAATTTATGAACAAACTCTTAAATCAAACGTTGGTTAACAAATAATTGTTTTTACTAGTTCTACCCGACATCCAACTATAGTTTGCACAACTCACATGTGATGAAGGACAAGCCTCCCTCACTGAACGGCCATTTCTCCTTATCTGCGTATTCCTTGTTTCCTTCTCGATCTTTTTCTTTTACTCTACTGTTCACTCTCTTTACTTACATGCACGAACACGAACACGAAAAATTTGCAATTTCAGTCAACGTATATGACTCGACGTATACTCGTTATAGCAGTGCCTCTCTCTCCATAATATAGACAAGCTCGCACGAGGGGTGTCAGGCAGTTTCCGAGTAGTTCACCGTGTCGCGCTTGATACAGCCAAAACGGAGACTATCCTATCCATAGATGAGCACCTTACTAGTCCGTATCAATATATTAATTCGATAAATTTACGTTCTGTTTGTTTATTATGTGGCAAGAGGCGTGCCGCCGATCGTGCACCCTTGGCGCTGGCAAAAGTAGTAGCATTCGTCGAGCGACAGCAACAGACCCCGGGTCGGGACTCTGCGCGGTTACAACGACACAGAGTGACAGCAACCTGTCAACGACGCTTGCACCTAATTCTGGTGACAACGATATTGCCGATCGTTATAATGGTACTGGATATACTGGTATTGGTTGTTACCATTGTAGAGTCGACCTAGCAGGCCCATACCGCATGGTGATTTGACAGCTTCTCGGGCGAGGCAGCTACGTCAGCGGCCACCGCTGATGTGACTGGTCCACGCCTCTTTTTCTCTTTCCTCTGTCCCGGCCTTTGCCGATGCTTTTAATGCCGTATGCTTTTCTGTCATTAGCCGGACACTCCTGTGGACAGGAGCAAATAAAACTGCTGCTTGATAAATTTTTGTATTCGTGTATTCTACGAGTACCGGCGCTCAGGAAACGTGGCTAACCGATCTGTCGGGCCGCTTGGTTTGTTGTAGTAGGTCCTTATTCCCGACCCCTGTCTCATTAGGTGGCTCCGACTGCAGTGGTCGTACGACTCGACAACTGCGATAAATGGAAGTGGTGGGCATCAACCTTGTCTGATCTTTCGTCCTGCTACCCCTGACAATCTTGCTGGGTAAGTCTCTTGCACTCTGCACTGACGTCCTTTGACTCTCAAACAAGTGTGCCCCCACTCTAACGATTCGATAGTCTATCTTCTCTAATCCCCGTAGCTTCAGTACGTTGTTTTTTAGCGAAACGACGACAGAAATAGCAACAGCAGTGACCGTATATTAAAATCAAAAGAAACATGTGCCTCTATAGCCAGTAACGCTATGCGGTGTTAGAATTCGTAGAATGGGCGAATTCTTTGATGGCCTGCTGACAGTTAAGCAGTGAGTTAATCCGTAAGTGCTTGTTGCACATGTCACCTGACATAATGGCGCTTTGATCAAGTGTGGCGCTAATCCAACGTGAGCTAAAACGGGCACCAAACCCATACTTAAAACACTGACCGAGTCTATTCGACTCACCGCGTACGCCCAAATTTTTCCTGAAACATATTCTTATTCGTATCTTCTTATCTTTCGATCCAGGACTGCTGTTCATTCTCCATGCTCAATTAACGAAACGACCAGCTCCAATGTAGTCAGCCATTAATCAGCACTGGCTAATGGCACTGACTACCGCGCGCAGCGGCTGACCACAACAATGAACTACTGCACGGAATTACGTGAACGCGCAGCAGCAGTAGCACCGCCGCTGCTACTGATGCGAGGTAAGATGCTAAACAGCAAGCCAGCGCGTATCATGCACAGCAAATTAAAAGAAGGAATCGACACACGTACGGTCTACGGAAACAAGGAACGCGAGGGAAGCACCAACAATAAGAACACAGGATTGCATCACGAGCGGCAGAGATCGTTTGCGAACGGAAGCTCGCGCGAGTGAGGGCAAACAGCCTGCCCCGTGCAAGAGCAAGAAGCAGTCGGCAAAGTGGAAAGGGCGAAGAGATGAGGTACTGGGAAAGAGAGGCACAAGGGTCTAGGTTGGGTTAGATTATGTGTCAACGGCTGTGAGGGCAATAGGTAGCAATAGTACGGCACAGCCGTGTAGTTAGACTGAAAACTTTGTCAGTAACAACGGCGATGAAATCAATGTAAAAGTGTAATGTGGAAAGCAATTGTAACAACAACCACTTCAAGAAAATCAAGCTAAACGAATAGATCCTTCATCAAAAAAAAATACCATGTGTCGAATTATTGGAAATTGGTGATAGTTCTCGGAAAAGTAGCGGCAGAACCTAAAATACGCCGCTGAACGTTGTTAGTCAACAGGTGCCGATGTGACATTTAAGAACGGCCCTAATCAGCATCAAAAGCGAACGGTAACGCTAGAGGCCGCGGAGGGTTCTATCTCGTTATCCTCGAGAGGGGGATCTAAAATTTTCACACACCTCCAATAAAAATAATCACGACAGTATCGGCAAAATGCTCAATTGCAGCCTACATGACTAGAAAAATAGCATTGTCCTGAATGGAAAAGAACGTTGATTCGAGGCAGCTGTGATGCCGAAAACGCACATGGTCGTCTCTACCAGTCATCGCGATATAGAGTCAATCGCGTATTTGCTGGGTCAGTAAGTAGTCATCATGACACGAATATTAACACTTTTTTTTAGTAGGCTCTTAAAGTTGCTTGCGATTTCGCGTCCTAGCACCCTTAATGTAGTGCTCGACATAAGTTTGCATTACATCATGTCGATGAGTCCGTTGACAATAAGACTATTGGCCCAGGTACTGTAACGGCCTAAAATTCGAATTTGGCGGAACAATTCATTGCTAATGAGTGTATAGACTCACGTGCATTGCTTTATTTATGTGCGACGCTCGAAAAAGTTGACCAATATGACTATACAAGCAACACTTTGGAGTAACACCTTATCACACAACTCGCGAAAGCAGTCTTGAAACTTTAAAAAAAATGCCGTGCCCATTCTCCTAAGTATAGATGACTCTTAAGTTTAACTAAAAAATAGCTGGCTTGCATCCTGTCTTATCTCTACTTGTCAATATCAATATGAAGATTTACTGATACATGCCTGCGCTGCGTACCTTTGTCGATCGACTTGTCTCCCCGACATCGACCATTAGACCGTACAATCTCAAGCGGCTTAGGATCTTTCACCGTCGATGAGTCTGATCGATTGTCCGTCTCTCCCATGATCCTTATAAAAGTATTCATTGTTTATCAATTGATTTGAACGTATCAATAGGACAAAGTTAAATTCTCGATTTCGACAGCTAATCAATATTTTCAGATTATCCTCTGACATAATAATCATTAGTTTATATATATATATAAATAAGACGATACAAGTGATCGGTATAGAACCTAAAGGTGGATTGTCAAGAATGCTCGAACTTTTTAGTTTATCAAAAATTTCACAAAAAGGGCAGTGATCATAAAGCATGTCAAATGAACAAATGAACGAATGCAAGCGATATACGTATAGACTCTAAAACGTGTAGCAGACCTATGTTGTAGATAAAAAAAAAAAAAGTAAAACACCTAATCGAAAATGGCAAAAAATCAGATTAAATAAAAAAAAAAACAGATGCGCTGCTAAAAACATGAAACTCCTCGGAAAAACCGTCCGTCGGCAGCCCGTTGATCGCTTCGCCGTATTGTGGAAAACAAAAAAAAAAAAAGCCCACAGATTACCACGTGAATCTAGCAGAAGGGGTACTAGATTTGATTTCAGTAAGCAGCGTATGTTACCTTGATGAATGCCGCCAACAATAAGCGTGGCTATCTTCCTCCGATCAAACAAAGGGCTAATTGCCAAATTGGCTATTAATTATCAACTTTAGAAAGTTACAACTTTTTGCAGCTTGCGGCATTTATCTTGTTTGCACTCTTCTCTGGTGTGGCCTTATAGCTTACATCGAAAATACTACACGTTCCAAATCGACGACTCATAGTAGTAATCAAATAGTAAGCAAGTAGGTAATCAATCAAAGTATAGATAAAATACCCGTCTTGATAATAGAACATCTCGCTTTGCTAACCTCAAACAGCCAATAATCACAACTTGATTTACCCAAATTGCACGCAATGAAGAGCAATGCTTTCTTTCAGTTAAGGTTAGAATCACACCTGAGCGAACCGCATGATTAATACAAATCCTCACTGCAAGGCAGAATGACACCGATGGCCGTAAAACAATACCATGGTCCGTGCAGTGATATAGTCCGAACACACCTACATGATATCGTGGCCTGAGTTCAACATGGACTACTTATCATTGCTAAGTGGATATGGCCAGTAGACAATGAGGAATAGGGGAGGATGAATAGTCGTGACACCTGCATAACGATGTCGTTATTTTCATCCACTTCGGGAGGATTAGTCATCAGCCATGACTGTCATCCGATTGAGATCCGTTTGTTTCTATGTATTCGGATCGTATTCTGAAATCATTTCCATTCTTAGAAAAACCTACCGTTCCATATTAATCATCCAGTAGAAGGATTTTGTTCCACCATTCCACCAGCCTAAATAAGCAGGATAAGCCCATTGAAATTTGCCCATTCAGGTTTATAAGTCATACTCAGAAAGCATGTTAGACTATCGATGAAGGATGTACTGAACAAAATCAATATAAGCATTATATAATACTTGAATTATTGTCCACTAAGGCGAACTCACCATCACCCAATCTTATTATTGATGAATGGAAGACAGCCCCGTTCTTAGCAGTCTACTGATGGAGCACCTGGCGACGAGCACACACTGTTAACCGAGGCCTGTACCGTAAATTTTTGCTAATACAACGTAGGCCGAGGTTGAGGAGCTTTACCACCAGTTGCCGTATTCATTGAACCACTGCGATCAGCGCCACAACTTCAACTGAATCACATCCAATGTAAAATACCTATGGTTAGAACCTGAGTTAATTAAACGATGGGCCATTAATCAGTACTTGATATTCACATCTACGACATAGACGTACAATCACATTGAAGTCGAATACATGAATCTTTTTGTACGGTTAGTGACAAGAACTCGAAATATAGAGACCTATTACGCGTATTATAATGGCCGCATCATTTGTGAATAGCTAATCACGATGGATATAGTCGTCATCAAATAAAAAAACTTTCCGTGATGCACTCGGTTCTTACGTTGCATATTCACATTAATGTTCCAAAAATCACCGACATCGATATGTTGTTAAAAGCTTCGATGGGTGACAAAAGTCTGGGGCTGGCTTACGAATGTGATTTCGTGAAAACGCAACACACGCCTTCTTTCGTCGTCGGTTGGAAACAATGATACATATAATCTCCGACTAAAATTCGATAGAGCTGGCGTAGTACGTGTCTAGATTTTTAAAACTGTCCTGTGAATCCCGCGCATAGTCAAACACAATGAATAGAAAGATAGGGTGCCACTTAAGCTACCCGCATTAGGCCTATTAATTTGGTTTTCGTGTCCATTGAGGCGTACGCGGAGTAAATAAATGGCGGACCATTTATTGAGTCTTGTCTACATAGAGGCGTAACTGAGTTGTGTGATTACGAAAATAGATGAGCTTCCAGTATACTCGATATCTCTCATCATTACCTGGATGACAGGTTTTTAACGCATGCTGGTAGGCTGGAGAAAATTAGTAAACAAACATATGGAACTTGTGAAACACATGTAGGTACAGCCTGTAAAACACATGTAGGTACAGCCTTGTAAAATACAGGCTGTACCTACATGTGTGTAAAAGGCAATATAAGCTGGACTAAAATATCTATTTGAGTATATGGAGGTGTTATTATAGGATATCAATAGCTTTGTTGTTGTTGTTGCTATTGTTGTTGTAAAGTGATCTTCTCTCCACGTTATAGTGAAGAGTTCAAAAAGCTGAAATGCAGCTTAAAATTTAAAAAAATACAGATATTTGAAGTTAATATTCATACCTGTTTGAAGGGAACACTGTCCTGAAGGCATATAGGTCTGCAGTTTTATTACCTTGGGTTTGCTCCAATAAATTTCTGGTGAAAGAAATAGGTTATAATTTTGTGTTAAAACGTGCTCCCCTATGTCGACACCATAGTAAGTTCTGATCTGTGTTTAATTTTAACATGTTTTTTTTTATTTCTCCAATCTATTTAAAGGCGATAACAGTAAAAGAATTAGCTAAGCCTCGGCTGCCACGCAATGGCAACAACTTGTCCGAAAAATAGATTTATGCATTTGGGTTGACCAACGATTGGATGAAGATGGTACACGTCGGAAATTGCGAATATTTTTGAGCTAGATTAGCTAAAACGTGTTCTTCTCTGATAACTTATAATTAGCTCTTTTACTGATAGCTTTCTACAAGAAAAGGAGAAGTCTAGTTGAGGCCTCATGGACGGAAATATCTGCAGTAATGCAAAGTTTTCAAATCATTGTTTATCAATAATGTCTTGTAGTGTTGGATCAATTAGGCGTTACAAAAAAGATATAAGCATTCTCAACTTAACTACAAACTTACCGTCTCTACATAATATTCAGTAATTGCCAAAAACCGTCCAGCCCGCTGTCACTCTTCCCGTGTGCTGAATGATCTGTCTTCTACTCAGGACTATTGTCTTGTTCGTTATTTGCTACTTATTACATCTACATGTTGCGTAACACATAAATCAACCAGCAAGCCTGTCAAATTCAATTATATTCAGAATTTTTCGGATGAAGACGGTTAATTGATTTTTCTAAGTCAATACGAGCTTGCCTCTATATGCGTAGAACCATTAATTGAGGACAATCGAACCGCGTTTACTTTTCATTAGAGTTGAACCATTGCTTGCACATTACATATTTATAGCGAAAAAAACTTGAACAAGCATGAAAGAGATTCATTAAAAGTAACGTTTGGTGTACTATATATACAGGAACACTGCATATTAGGGGCATAAAAATATACCTACGAATTAAGCCCTTACATACATTATGCCTGTTTCACATATTTCACCTGACATGAGTAGGCTAGGAAGACGAAAATAGTCGATCTTTCGTGATTTTATTTTGCAACGACCAAGTTATGCTTCCACCCGATAAACCTGTAATATCTGATCAATATTACACGTACACCTCTGATAGAAATTCAGTATGGCCGTAATACGAAAAAAAACGATTATCACATTTAATCAATAAGTTCATTTTAGTGTAACGGAATAATTAATTACCTATATAGTAAAACTAATAGGGCACAAACATTAATTTTTGTCAAAATTAAAGCTAATCATTATTTAGGTTTTGGCTCCCTTTTTCTAGGGGTGGAGGTGAGAAACGGGCTTATCGATCGGCAAACCTATACACCGATTGTTGGAAATAACCGTGAATTAAGTTCTGGTCATAGCCTCACCGTTGCGTAGTAAAGTAAAAAGCTTAGATGTTTTTGCCGAACGTACCGATATTATTTTTAAGGTGGCTTAGGGTATTTCGTCATAAGCACACGCCTGGCTAGCTCATGGGCATTGTTACAGGATTAAAAAAAATATTGCTGTATTTGTCTTTCATCGAAGGATATTCTATAAGTTCTCCTTGGGTATTAATTTCCACTTCTTCTGTTGTTCCTTCCATATCAAGTGAAAGCAAATCCTCCGGTTCGGCTACAGAAACAAAGAACATCTTGAAGTTTTGGAATTAACAAAGAAGAATATTAGACTTCCCTAAAAAGGCACAATCAATGCATAGTTCGTATCACAATCAAGATTTTCAGGTTTCGTAAACGTGTGTATAAGGGCATTTCTTCCTGCTTGCAAACTTCTTGTATATGCTGAACAGCGTACTTGAGTTAAATACAATATGCAACACCATATTGCCGTTGCATTCAATTATTTAATAATTAGTGTGCTATTATCGAATACGGAGATAAAATGCATGATTGAAGGAATTTCTAGGCTCCTTTTTGTCTAAAAAATAGTGTATATTTAGAACTAGAATCAATGATGAATTCACTGGACTGACCCCGGATGGTCCTACTGAATGGTCCTACGTGTTGTTTTCCTAGGTGAGCTAACCTCGAGATCCGACTGTGTTACGCTAGACATCGCCGATTAGAGCGCAGAAAATCTAGAATAGAACATCTTAGGGCTTGCTGACCACATATGGCATACTAACTGATCTTATCAAGCGATATCTAAAACCAAACGGTGAAAACAGAGTATAGGAAACAGAGTATAGGAGGAGTCTAAATGAAAAGGTGCTGGAACCTTTCAACACATGGGGGTCAGTTGAATGTCACGCGATGATCGAGAATTGAAAACTTAGGGAAGCAAAGCATGGTCAAGGAGAGCACAGTAATAAATGCGCATAGGCAGCAAAGCCATTTACACCTCTGTATGCTGAGACCTGTATCCTGCGGAAAGGCAATTGCAATTTGTCTCCAGTTCAGGGACTCTATTTTCCATAATCTATGCAAAAACTCGTCGTGAAGCGTAAGCAACAACAGAGTTATGAAGAATGCAGAGGCACGCTCGATAAAGAGAATCAGCTAAAGACATGTAGCATCTCTAGGGATTGCCAATCTTCTTTAGTGTAGCAGTACGAAACGGCTATACGAATAAACTCCGGTGCTATGATAGGTCACGCAAGTGTTTTGCCTCGAAAACGACCGTACTCTATATCGTGGCAACATTCACTAAAAGAAATATTCGACTCTGATGATGGAATTAAGGCTTACGTGTGCCTCCTATGAATATTAAGCCTCAAACAGGATTTTTTCTGCGGAATGTAACCGCTGTAGCTCGGGAAGTCTGATATCGAATTGGTTAAAAAAAAGTACATACATTGTACATAAGAAAGACATATCAATATTAAGAATCACTGTTAACACTTAGCTATTGAATTTTATGTATAATGAAGTACCCTAACGAGAATGGCTTACATATGTCGTTCGTCATTTATCTCTTAGTAAAAGGAGGCTGCATGTTAATAATTTGATTGCCCGGAGACGTGACTAGACAAGTATGCTGAATAAATATACACAAAATAAAAATACCCGTAATTTATCCGTTATCAGCTTCTAGCAGACATCGTCCTTTTGATAACTAATATGATTCTTGGAATATGAGTCACTACTTTTGTTGATATAAAGCATTATAAGGATTTTTAACAATGGAATAAGCCAGGAAAACGTTTGCTAAACCGAACTTATTAAATTCAGAAATGATCTCTTCGACCCCTCGCCAACAGCAGGCATACTCTCGGTTTCCGTGCAATAGGGGTGTAGCAATTTCTAGAAGCGTTTACCAAATTGAATTATGTATGACTAATGAATGGTGTAAGAGCTTGAAGGTAACTGTGTGTATTACATCATTGCACATTACCTCAGCATTGTACGACATCCCGAATGAAGAACTGTAGTAGTACCGCTGTATAAAGGTACATGTATGCCGCCTTTTTTTCTATGAAACTCTTTAAACAAGAACATGCCAATGGATTTAATCGAAGTGTGACTTTTGTTTCACACTGCCAGCTTCTCAGTTCGTATCACACATTTCAACCGGAAGATACTTAAATTTTAAAACGGGTTATATCTTTCGTAAAATTCCTGCTTCATCTGACAAAGGTAAATGACAACCCCCGAGTATGTTTTATGGCATTTTCACAATTCAAAACATGTTTTGCAGGATTTGGCTATTCTTTAGGTTGTGCGTTTTCATGACGAAGCATACCGGACTGATATAACAGCTTATTAAAAACGTCAGTAGCTTACTGTTTTTCAACCAATCCTTACGCCTTTGTTGAAGACCAACGATGTCTCCGGCTCATTTGCTGCTGGACCCCAATGTGAATAGGCAAGAACCGACAGAAGCTGGAAACGTGTGCTCCTATATGATTTAGGTTATACGATATAGAAGCATTAGTTGACCCACAAGTGCTTCACAAACAATTTGACACATCTAAAGTGGGCCAAAATTCGATCGGCTGTTTGCTGTAGCATGCATGCGTTCATCCTCTGCTCTTGGCATCGAAAGGAAACCAGTATTTTCTAGAACACAATTAAACATTTGTTATGGTGGAAAACAACACGTGCTTTCCGTATTTTGAGCGAAAATAAACTATATTGCAATCTCTTCGACTTCAAAAGACTCGTCCATATTAAAAAACTTCCTTTTTGTCTAAAATTGACGATTTGTGTTCAAGGAAACCGGAAGATCTTCCTCTGTAGAGTTTAAATCTTAAACTAGAGAATTAATGAGAAATGGCCTTGAAGTTCATTTTTATAGCCCTGGACTTTTAAGGCAGAAATCAACGGCCGTTTTGAAGCAGAACATTCTGATTGTCAACTAGGTCTGTTACCTAGATAAGTTCAAACAATTAGTCTTCTTTATGTTTTTCGCTCTTTCGATCGTTTTAAACTTTTACATTTTGCGACTTTTAGTCTCCTATTAGCTCAAAAATGAATTCCACTATAATTTTGTGTATGTAGCACATTTAATCGACACTTTCACGACTTTATACCTATTACTATCGCTCAAGTCTCCCACTACCTGTGAATATGCGTTTCGCCCTTTATATGCACCTATATCGCTTCAGGTACGGTTCCTATTTAAATGTTGTTTGCGAACTGAAGAGTAAACATTTTAAACATGACTAGTGAGTAGTTTAGGCTAAACTGTAATCGTGGTAAATAGTGATTATATAGAATAAGACCAACCGGAATAACACTTCTAGCACATGCAAAAATATTTCCTTAAAATATTTAGCCTTGTTTAGACACAATTTTAAAAACAATTCAAAGAGAAGTTCCCACTTGGGGTGAGTATTCTGTATATATAAATACACTATTCTTACACAAAAGTTCCTTCATCTACGTTACAGTTTATGAATAATCGGATCTATTGTTTAGATGGCACATACGACATAAAAGTGGTTCGGTTTAGTTTTGACGATATTGGCAAAACTGTTCTTGATTATATATCTGATTTAATCAAATTATTGGAGCTCATATGGATATTTCAATTTTAACATAACTTCGTAACTTCGAATGATTACTCTATGACACTATGGGAACAATTCTATCTAACCCAATGCAATCTAGTTTGATTGCATTAGCAAGGTTCGATAAGAAAAAAAACTATAAAAGTTTGCTTTAATGGTAAAGTCAGTCATGTTAAGGCTATAAAAGTTTGCTTTAATGGTAAAGTCAGTCATGTTAAGGCTAAACTTCACCAAAAGACAAAAAGCTTTGTTATTGTTCCTCTAATTTCCACATAGCCAATTCGCGGTCGTAGAATGAACATGACAAAACGGTTCTTCCATCCCACCAATCTATTCCGTAGCACATTGATTCATGTCCAGTAAAATGCTGCTTAATTGACCAGGTCTCTTTGTGACAGTCTACGACGAAAGCTCCGGCGTGCATTGCTGCCACAGCTAGAAGCCGGGACTGAGTCGGGTTAGTTTTTATACGCCAGACCCCACCCCCAGTATGGACTTCTTGTATTGAATTTTGAATCATCCGTAGATCGAACTGATAGAGTTTATCCTCGTACGTTCCTACTAGAAGATGCCCTTCATTCCACGGATCAGCTTCAATCGTCGTAACGCCGCTTTCAAAACGTCGAATCACTCGCGAACCACCGTCTGAAGTCGTTGTTTGCCTAAGTTTAGAGTCGTCTCCGCCTGTATAAATGACCTGTCCATTGTGCAAAACAGCCCAGATTTCTAATTGGCTCACAGCGTGTTCTTTAATAAAGACAAGCGAACTCGCTACATTAGTCAGCTTGTACTCATGAAGTATACCGGAGCTAAAAGTCGCTGCGATATTAGGCTCAAGGTTGCTTAAACTAACTGGGCTCCATGACACCGAAAGGGCTAAGCTTTTATTATTCGACTGCTGTAATCCTAATGTAGCTTTATCTTGTATTTTTACTTGATTATCATGAGTAACATATCCCAGTCGAATGGTTCCGTCGGCTAAAGCTGCAGCGAAACATTCGTTTCCATCATCTATCGTTACTGGCTGGTCTTTTCTAAACTTAACGTCGAGAACGCCAGCAGGAGCCTCACAGGTCGTTACCAACTGGAACTTATTACCGTTTGAGGTAAACAGCGAAAGCGAGCCTAACCTGATTTGCTCGGCCCTATCCTGAAGTTCGTACGTGCCAACTAGAAACCGTTTACAATCACTGCACATAGCGATTGTGTCGCAATTAGCATGCATCCTTAGACGATCTAGAAGTATAGCCATAGCGTAGCTGTAAAGTGGCGTTGATGCGGATAATTTCCGGAGAAAGTGGGTCGAGGGTGAAGGATTCGATTATATTAAAGCGATCTGTATTTGATAAAGGAAGAAAAATTAATTATGCTAGCGGCATCTCAGATTTAACGGGCGCGCTCGTTCCTCCACCATCAGCTGTTCCGCTCACAGAAGAATGCTTATGGTGTGTTCTGTCAAGGGAACACTCAGTCAGCAGCGCGGGCTCTTTTGAACAACCGTACTGCATTATGTTGTACTTAAGGACATAGGCCCCTGCTAAATTTCGCGAATATAATTTAAGTAGGTGTTAAATAAAAAAAAAAACTAATACAGGCTTGTTTAAATGAAACTCCAATTATCGCAGTGACTGTTTACTGTAGGCCTTTCTTGCTTGACTGCTGCTTCATGGTGGGGTTGTAGGCGATGAAGATTTTTGGCCCTCGGAGAATGATGTCTTTTTAAAATAAGCATTTACTGTACTTCCTTTTAGAAAACTTCCGACTAACCTACTTTGAAACGAAACTAACATACTGGCTTTAATAAAATGAAGCATAAAGGTTACGGAATATACGGAAAAAATCTATATCAACCGTAACAACTTTCATATTTGAAAAAAAAAACAGAAATAAGAAGTTCGTGATATAAAAATCTAAGGGATCCTTATAGCCGCTTGTAGTACAAGGAGGGTTTTCTGCCTCGACTACTATTTGGCAAAGGTACGGAGTTTTAAATAAAATCTGTAGAATAGGCCTGCGTTACTACTCTTTTTTTTTACTCTTTTTTGGGCATTCCCGGTTTAATAGTAATCTATATTATAACTATTAAATAATAAATTTGGTAGTTATTTACAAGCAAAGCCTATTGAAAAAATAGCGATATCAATTTTTTGCTAGTCTAAAAAATAATGTTTAATGAATATTCTTACTATGTAAACGGTGCCTGCCATTTATAGTTGTTCCAGCTATATTATTTGCTTAAGTTACAGCGGTCACGCGGATAATATTAAAAATATAATTTAAATTCCGGCGCGACCCCTAGTATGAAGTCTCTTTTAATGAGTAAAACCAGTACTCATTGACTTCTCTAGAAATAACATTGTAAATTTTCTAGTTGACAATTCTTTTAACCAAAAATATGTATCGAAAAAGCTTAGCATCTGTTGAAAATTATATCGCACTGAAGTGTAGGTCAGAATATATTCAGCTTATATTTGCTGTGAAGCAGTCAGATTGGGATGTATGCTATACTGGCAATGTTTTTTGCTCAAATCCCTACATACGTCGTACCAAAATATATACTATTTGCATTAATAACAGAAACCTGTTAAACGTTATAATGTACACTTTATTTAACAGATGCAGTTTAACTGTATCAATAATATTGCACGCATCGGGATAACAAGATAGTCGGATAGCAAGTTCTTCCTTTAT